TCCCAATTCCAAGTGAGCTTACGTGCTAATGGGGAATACAAGTACACATTAAAATATTTATAGCAAAAATATAAAGTCAATTAATACAAATATATGCAAAGTAATTAGACAGAAAGTAGTTTGGAAGGAGGGCACTAGCAGTTGGGGGGACCAGGAGAGGCTTCATGTAGACAATGGTGCCTGAGATGCATCTTTTTTTTTTTTTTTTTGCTTTTTGGTAAGGTGCTTGGGGTTAGTGACTTGCCCAGGGTCACACAGCTAGTACATGTTAAGTGTCTGAGGCTGGATTTGAACTCAGGTCCTCCTGACTCCAAAACCAGAGCTCTATTATTCACTGTGCCACCTAGCTGCCCCCCTGAGATGCATCTTAAAGATCTCTATGAGGTGATGGGTAAGGAGGGAGTGCATTCCAGACATGAGGGACACCCAGTATATAAACACAGAGATGAGAGATGGATTGCAAAAAAGCTCAGATAAAACTTTTTGTTATAGTAGTTGCAAAATTCTTCAGATCCTTTTTTAAAAAAAATATTTTTTTAAAAAATGAGTTACTGAATGTTTCCTTAATTTATTTACCTGGAGAGGCAGTCTGGGTGAATGAAAATGGTGCTTGATTTCTGGTCAGTGGACTTAAACCCAAGTCTTCTGGCTCTCAAGCCACTATCTAGAAACTCATCTTCCAGGGAGGATTTTTTTTTTCCTATCAGAAGTTTCTAAGTGCAAGTTGAGGAAAACTGGGCAATGGAAAGGATGAGGAAAAATCAGTGCCTGGAAGCCTGAGGCCCCAGAAACTGGTGACTTTTTGCCATCACTGTAGGACCAGAATCTTCAGATCTACTCCAGTCCACAAACAGGCTGAGACTTCCATATAAGGAAAGGTTTGGTGGGGCAGGTAGAGGTACCACAGCACTGAATGCAAACAGGAGCTCAGGGGAGTCATTCAATCTACCCCTGCCACAGAGACCTTTCTACCAGCATCCCCCCTCCCCTTTCCCTCACTCCACTTTATGGCACTGCAGGACCTCTGCCAGAAGATAATAAAATGTAGGAAATGACACATATAAATAAAACTCACTCACCTAAAAGCCTAGCACATCAAGCATGTCTGGATGTTTTTCATTATCTATTTTTTTTTTAAACCCAGCTTCATTTTTACCCTTTCTAACTCACTCAGGCCATTTTTCTCCCTCCTGTTCTATTCCATTCCATTTAATGCTGTTGTTTCCTGTTCTGTCTTGTTCTATTCCTTTCTAGCTTGTGCTTTCCCTGTGCTCTTTATTTTCATTTTCATTAAAGACAGACCTTTGCTTTTTGCTCTTTTTTTTTCTTTGAGCTTCTTTCTGGTATAGTCCTCACTGAAAGGACAGAAAAGTCTGGTAGAAAAGACAACCTGTCCTCTTTGTTCAAGGTCTGTTTTGGGCACTGGTGCATCCAGAGTGTCTGGGGCCTCACTTAATGAAACGGAGTCCCCTCTGAGGGCAACTGACCTTTGTTATCTTTCCTTCTTTTTTGTGCGTGTGTGTTACAAACTTATTTTATTTTCAATTCATGAAACAAAACAAGCATTTCCATAACTCGGTACAATTGAAAAAGATGATTGCACATGAAACTGCAAATATACCATGTGCAACTTGCTATTCCTTCCAAATATACAACAAAGTTATTATGTAAAGTTCTTTTTTCCCCCTTTTTTTTCTTCCTCCCTTCCTGCCTGTGCCCTAGAGGTGGCTACCATTAGACACAATTACATATATATGTAAAATTGTTCTGTACATACTTCTATTTATCAGTTCTTTCTCTGGATGCAGATAACATCTTTCTTCTTCTGGCCTTTATTTATAATTTGTGTATTTATAATAGTCAAAATGACTTAGCTGCTCAAAGTCTTTCTTAAAACAATATTGCTGTTACTGTATACAATATTCTCCTGGTTCTGCTCACCCCCCTCCTTTCTTCTGATAATAAAGTTTCTACATAGTTCTCTTAATGAAACACTGATCACTTTCATTTTTACCTAGATTCCAAGTTCCTATGAGGAGAAACTAAAGAAACAGGGGTTATTTATTACAGCATCCTTCTACGCTGTCCCTTCTAGCCTTCACTCTCACTTTCAGGTTGGGTCCCCAGAGGGCAGCTACCATTCCCAGATTCTAGGGGATAGTATGTGAGTCCTAGCTCCTGCTCATAAGCCTCATCAGTAAACTTCACCTTAATAATAAACCAGTAGGATGGGGCAGCTAGGTGGTGCAGTGGGTAGAGCATCTGCCCTGAAGTCAGGAGGACCTGAGTTCAAATCTGGCCTCAGACCAAACACTTGACACTAGCTGTGTGACCACAGGCAAGTCACTTAACCCCATTGCTTAGACAAAAAAAAAAAAGTAATGTGATTTGCTTTGGGGCAGCTAGGTGGTGCAGTGGATAGAGCATCTGCCCTGAAGTCAGGAGGAACTGAGTTCAAATCTGGCCTCAGACCAAACACTTGACACTTGCTAGCTGTGTGGCCTTGGGCAAGTCACTTAACCCCAATTGCCTAAAAAAAAAATAATAATAAACCAGTAGGCATGATTAGCTCCTAGCAAAGGTATTTCTGAAGACAGTATATTAAGAATAATAATTACAAAATATCCCCACTCCCTCACCCTATACACACACCTTACGTGTCGACCACACTCTCCCACAAATACATATGGAGTCTGCAGGAAGAATGGGCAGAAACCTAGAGTATGATGGTATTGAGGTACATATGTAGGGAACCCATGGGGCAAAGGCTAATGCCTTCTGGAAATTTCACACACCCTGGGCACAGCATCTTTGTTGGATGGGTCACTCAGCTAGGATCTGCTTCTCTCTGGGCTGGACTCTGCATTGCTAGGGTCAGTGTTCCCTTGAATCTGTGGTCCGTCTCTTCTCTGACACCAGTCACTATGCTTCTTAAAGCTACTTGGGACCTTGGACAATTGACTCTTTGCGTCCACATCTGTCTAAAGAGTATGTGTTTCTGGTCCTTCAGGTGCATCTTAAAACTCTCTTGAAACTCTCAAACTCTTGGATGCAGTGTCTTCCACTGGGTGAAGAGCTCCGTTGCTAGATGTCATGGCTGATACGAAGGGAAGAAAATCCCTTCTCCTCCTCTTCTCACTACCCTTTGGCATAGGGGCAAGAGGTTCCCTGCAAAGCTGTTCCAGACTCTAGAACTATATCAACTGACTCCAGGCCAGTCATAGTTCACTATTTTGGGGCCATCTCCAAGTCGTCTTGATCTATATCTGGCCACTGGACTCAGATGGCTCTGGAGGAGAAAGCGAGGCTGGTGACCTTGCACAGTCCTCCCTCACTCAAATCAAAGTCAATTGCAAGTCATGTCATCATCTCCCTGATGTCGGGTCCTCTTCAGAATGAAGGACAAACACGACAAACTCTCAAAGACCAAGCCTTAAACCTAATTCACTCTGGAGCTCATGGATTGGACAACAATAGGTCCCTGCCCAAACATCACTTAATGTTTATTTTTTTGAGCCCTCTTTGCTCAGAGTGAATGTAAATATTAACTGTTTCTCTTCTGGTGAGCAATCCTGAGGGTCTTCCCCTACCAATTTGATGTCTTTTTTCTTTTTTTCTTTTTGATTAAAGGGGCCATCCCTTGACTCACTCCTATCCACTGAATGGGCGTTACATCACTCAAAGTGAGAACTTGAGAAGACCTTAGCTTAAAAAGGCCAAGGTCTAGCACTGCATCCAGGGACACCTCCAAGTGTCTTGATCTATATCTTGCCACTGGACCCAGATGACTCCAGAGGAGAAAGCGAGGCTGGTGACCTTGCACAGCCCTCCCTCATTCAAATCGAAGTCAATTGCAAGTCATGTCATCATCTCCCTGTTGTCATGGTCCCTTAGAACAAAGGACAAAGACAACTGGTTCACCATTTAAAAGCCTCCAGGGGCATGGCAAATTTTCTGCCAGCCAATTCCACCTCCCTTTCCAATTCAACCAGGGAAATGTTTTCATATTTTGTTAGGGGACAAAGGAGACAGACACATGTTTATAGTCAGTTTATTACCTTGTTAACATATTAATACTTCATTACCTCTGTTATCAGTCTCTTGTTTTTCCGTGAGTTTACCTAACAAGGGAGGAGTCAACTAGTCTAAGACCAACTACCCCTCTTTCATTTAGTTTAGAGGAGAGATAGATGAGGAAAAACTTGGATCATAGATCATGGAAGGGTTCTTTAAAATAAGCTAGTGCAGGGGTGGGGGACCTGTGAGTCAGTCAAAGGTCCAAACTTGAGGACCTAGAGGGTCAATTGTAGCCTGGAGGCCACAGGTTTCCCACCCCTCATCTAGTGCCATTCTCTGTTTTACAGAGGGAAGAACTGAGGCCTCGGATAATTAAGCAACTCATCCAAAGTCGCATAACCAATCAATGCAAGAGTGAGGGCTAGAACTCGGATCTCCCAACTTGTAGGTTCAGTGTGAATTCCTCTGTACCAGACTGCCTCCCCTACATAATGGCAATCTCCAATTCATATAGATAATGTTCTCCATCTCTAATGAGCACAGAAACTAAAGAGAATGAGCTTATGCCACAGCACAAGAGCTCTAGTTAGCCTCATTTATTGAAAGGAGGAACTTTCTACGAATGGAGCTTATTAACTATAGGAAAAGGTTAGTCATCTTTTCCTGTAGCTAATAAATGCAATCTTCCCGTGCCATCATCTCTTGAAGTCTTTAAAAACAGAATAGATTCTCATCAATCTTGGTTGATTTAGGTGTTCTGAAGGCAGAGGGATGATAGACTAAATGAAAATTATTCTGTGATTTTCCCATCTGCATTCTCAGAGCCCTACTCCCACCCCTACCCACAATGAGGGCCTTCCTTCTTGGATCCCCACTCACCCTCTGTCCTCCAAAGCAGGACAACTTCTCTGTCTCTGTGTGATATGCCAGTAGCTCTGCAACTACCCAGCAATTTTTTTTTGTTTTTTGTTTTTACTTTGTAGGGCAAAACCACGTCCTTGGATGGCTGCCAGGATATGCTGGGGACATTTGACAAACAGTACCATGATTGAATGAAAAAGTGACTCGGGGGGCCTTGGGACACATCAATATGAAATAACTATGTGAAAAGCTTAGAGGACGGAGGGTTGGAGAAATCAAGAGATGAAGCCATCACCACCACCTCTACCCTCCCTTAAAAGCCTTTACAATTGTTGTCCATCCTCCCTGTCCCTCCCCCAGTCCTCTGTGGATAGAGGTGAGTGAACAAGACCAGCAATAGCTCTCTAAGGAGGAGCAGCAAAGGCCTGGAATCTATGAGAGCTGGCTTCTACTCCTTACTCTATCCCTTACTAATGGTGTGACTTCAGGAGAGCAATTTCACTTTTCTGGCCTTCAGTTTGCTCATCCATAAAATGGGGATAACATGTACCCTCATCCACAGTATAACCTTCTCATGAGGATCCAATGAAATAGTATATATGAAATGTTTCATTAATTGGGAAGATCTCTGCGTATTTGCTTCATGAATACTTCAAAAGATCCTCAAAATTTCATAGACCGGGGTCACCCCAAACAGATAAAGTTCTGTACCCTTAGTACAATGATGTCAAATGCAAATTCAAAGAAAACCATTAAACTGTTATTAGGATCCCTGTGGGATGCATATTGACTTAGAAAACCACATATTAACATTATCGCTGGTCTATTGTATTTTTATTTATTCTGTTAAATATATTTCCCAGTTACATATTAAATCTGGTTCAGAATTGCTGCCAGTGAACTGCATGTTTGACATACCTGCCTTCATAGATAGTGCTTACTAAGTTAGTGTAGTCAAACATTCACTATCTGATGGCCAACCTTTGACCATGAGCCCCTCTAAGTTTAGTTGAAGTAGTAGTAGTAGTATTAGTGGTGGTGGTGGTGGTGATGCTGGTGGTGCTGGTAGTAGTAGTAGTAGTAGTAGTAGTAGTAGTAGTAGTAGTAGTAGTAGTAGTAGTTATTGTTTTTTGGGCAGCTAGGTGGCACAGTGAATAGAGCCATGGGCTGGGAGTCAGAAAGACCTATTTCAAATCTGGCCTAGATACTTACTAGCTGTGTGATCCTGGGCAAGTCACTTAACCCTGTTTGCCTCAGTTTTCTCATCTGTCAAATGAGCTGGAGAAAGAAATGGCAAGCCACTCCAGTATCTTTGCTAAGGAAACTCTAAATGAGGTCCCAAAGAGTTGGACATAAGTGAAATGACTGAATAACAAAGGATCTTCTGGCTTCACCTTTGAAAGCCGTACCACAAAGAGGCTTCAAAGATGGCAGTGGGAAGCAATATGGTGTGGTGGAAAAGGCCCTAGTTCTAGGGTCAGAGGATATTGATTCAAATCCCATGGCTGATCCTTGCTACCTGTGTGATTGTGAGTAACTCACTTAGCTTCCCTGGTTCTTAGATTCACTTGTATAGCGGCCGGGTTGAATCCAATGGCTTCTGAAGTCCTTTCCAGCTCTAAATCATTAATCCTGGGATTTTGGTGGAGGATACACGTAGGAGGGATGCATATTTTTTTGTTCTGGCCTATGATTTCGCTGATGTAGGGAACTACCTGTACCCTCAAAGCACAACAGCAGAGTTTCCTGCTGCACTGAGTTCAATTCAATTAAATAAACATTTATTAAGCACTATTATTATTAACTGCCCTTATACAGGATAAATAGGAAATAATTAAAAGAGGAGGAATTAAGAGGGGTCAGGATTTTAGTTGGGACTTAAAGGAAGCCAAGGAAGTCATTAGTTGGAGCAGAGGAGGGCGAGAGTCCCAAGCACGGGAGACATCCTGAGAAAACGTCCAGAACTGAGAGATGGAGTGTCTTGTTTGTGGAACAGTCAGGAGACCAGTGGCTTGTACAGTATGTAAAAGAGGGAAGTCTTGAACACAGAGCTTCTGGACTTTGAGCTCGCTTTCTATCCTCTGTGCCATGCTGTCCATCAACATCATTATTCTTAGAAATCATCATTGTTAAAACTAAGGGCCTAAGGACAGCACAATGGATGGAGTCTTGTCTTGGACACATAACTGCTCATTTGTTTAGAGGCAAACCACTTCCGCTCTCTTTTACTTAATGATTCCCCAAGACTAGATGGATGAAGGAGGATAGTAAAAAGGGGCTGGATTCAGAGTCTGGGGACCCAGGTACGAATCTCTTGGATCCGCCATGTATCAGATGTATGATCCTGAGGAAGTCACATCTTCTCTGGGCCTCATTTACATAGAATAAAAAATACAGATTTAGAGCTGGAAGGGACCTGAAAGGCCATCCTTAACTACAGAGTGTAGGGGTTGGATCGGATGTGACAAAGATCTCTTCTAGTTCTAAATCTATCATCCTATGAGCTGCCCAGTTACATGGGCAGGAAAAGTCCTACGCCTGATGAAATCATGTTCTTTGTTTGGTTGTTTTCAGTAGTGTCTAACTCTCTGTGACTCCTTTGGGGTTTTTTGGGCAAAAATACTGGAGTCGCTTGCCATTTCCTTCTCTGACTCATTTTACAGATAAGGAAACTGAGGCAGATAGGATTAAGTGACTTGCCCAGGGTCACATAGCTAGTGTCTGAGGCAGGATTTGAACTCAGGTCTTCCTGACTCTAGCACAGGCACTCTATCCACTGTGCCACCTACCTTCCCTGATACACTCGTAGGTCCAATCCAAATAAAAAATGGTACTGGGGCAGGAACGGGAAGTGGGGGAGGGTTGGGGCATAGTCTAAGTCAGATAACATCCACAGTGACCAGGAGAGAGTGAATGCACAATGAATAGAGTGTTGGGCCTGGACTCTAGAAAGACCTGAGTTCAAATCCAGCCTCAGATACTTATTAGCTGTGTGACCCTGGACTTAACTACATCAGCCTCAGTTCCCTCATTCATAAAATGGGGATCATAGTAACATCTGCCTCCCAGGGTTGTTGTGAGGATCAAATGAGATTATGACTGGCACACAGTAGGTGCTTAATAAATGTTTGTTTTGTTTCTTCACTCTATCCAGCTCTCCTTTGCTGAGATATTTGGGGGTGGGATTTTAAAAGGAAGTACATGACACTCTTTAGGAGCTCACAGTCTGGTTATAGAGATAAAACTCACTTTAGTGGAACAATTGAAAGGAATCCAAAGGAATCAGAGGCAACATCCTTAAGTGTGGTGAGGGTTCAGTAGGCACGCAGTAGGCGCCTTGCTTGTAGGTCTAGAGGCAAAGAGAAAGAAGGACCTTGAATGTCCAGGGGACCTTGTGCTCCTTGGGCTATCCTTGGGCCTCGTGGGCCTCGAGCTGAGGATGCCCAAGGCCAGCAGGGACAGCTCTTGCTGCACGGTCCTGGCCCTCTTCCCATCCCTGAGTGCTGTCTCTTCGGGGGGAGTTAAAAGAAGATTATTTCCCAGCTGAAGATCCTCTTCTGGTATTTTAAACTGTTCTGAAGAATTGCCAATTGATCCAAGAAGCTAAGTGTGCTGTTGTAATTACAGCATGATGTGATGGGACTGTCCTGGCCACCCAGGAGATATTGTGAATATGTCATAGGGCCAGCATCCACATCTCGTGTCATCCAGCTAATAGGTGGAGTTTCAGTCACGGCCTCACAGCTTTGTCTTTAAGGGCGACCCCTCTACCCTTCCTCCCCTTCTGAATTCTTTGCTGTGACCTCCATAACTGATCCTCCTCCCCCCCCCCGCACCACTGCTTTGGTGTTAACAGAAGAATTAGATTCACTCTCTCCTAATGTTGTAATGGTGGGGCTGTAATGGGGCTGCACTTATTCCCATCAATTCTAATGCAGTCGGAGGCTAAGGTACCGCAACTTAGCAGAAAATAGGGAGGTTGACTGAATTTCTTCTAATGGGGCGGAGTGTTCAGGGCCATATTTTTGGATGCTAACAGGGTACTGTGTTAAACATTTAACCCACTTTTTATTTGTCTCTCACAGCCCATTCATTTCTATTAAGTCCCAGTCAAGCCATTTGTTTATCTAAGGGTCCTTAAGTGTCAGTGGAGAGAAACAGGAAAGATGGGAGTAGCAATAGTCCCGGTGCTGGGGGGCTCTTGATGCTAACAAGTGAGAGGGGTTTCATTTGGGGTGAAAACAAGTGGCATTGGCAGAGAATGGCAGGTACCCAACCTTGCTGGCACTTACCCTGGACTTTTCTGGTGTAAGCAATCTTCCTGAAATGATTGTGTGTGTGCGTGTGTGTGTGTGTGTGTGTGTGTGTGCCTCCACTCTCCTCTGAGAGATACCTTTCTTTTTGTTACTTAATTGCCTTTTTACTTTTTTATAGAATGTAAACACCTTAAAATTTGGAATTTTTTTTTTTGTTGTTATCTTTAGCACCTTGCATGTTGCTTAGAACAGGGATGGGGAACCTGTGGCCTCGAGGCCACAAGCAGCCTTCTAGGTCTTCTAGTGTGGCCCTTTGACTGAAACCAAAATTCACAGAACAGACTAGTTTGGATTCAGTCGAAGTTTCCCCACCCCTGGCCTAGAACATAGTAGGCACTTAATGAATATTTATTCAGGAACTGAATGAATGAATAAGTGAATGAATGATTCATGCAAGTCCTCTAATTCCAAGCAGTATTTCTGTGATGGGGCTGTGTCTATAGATAACTACTTTAGTATTGCTGCAAATTTGGTGGCAACACAGAACAAAATTATTCCTCTTTTTGGGTGTACAAAGGTGTGCATGTGTGTGTTGGTGATTGTACAAATGAGACTAATTCTTCTTTTGATCCATTCACAATTTCCATTGGCATCTCTGCTAGTGTAAGAGTGTTGGTTTTTTTTGTTTTTGTTGTCTTTGTATTCCCCCAGAGCCTATCACACTGTCTGAAACACAATATGTATTTAATAAATACTTTTTTATGCTTTTGTTTAATTTTATTCACTTTTTGGTTACATTTTAAGTTCTTTACTGCATTCCTCTATCCCTCCCTACCCTGCACTAAAGGAGGTCACCATTTGACACAGACACAGACACATGTTGTGTGTGTGTGTGTGTAAAACCATAGTGTACATATTTCTATTTATCAATTCTTTCTCTGGAAGTAGATAGCATCTTCCTTCATAGGTCCTTCATAGTTAGAGCATTTATAATACTCAGAATAACTTAGTTGTTCATAGTTATTCTTCAAATAATATTGCTGCTATTATGTATTATTTTCTCTCAGTTGTGTTCATTTCACTCTTCATTATTTCAGCAGCAAACTAAAACTGAGATACAGGGTAAATGAAAATGGAGGTCTGAGGACCCCATAAAGGCACACAGTAGGCTTTACCATACATAGTACCTTTGCCTACCTGTTCTCCCAGGAAAAAAAAAACCAATAATAAATTTACTGATATCATCATAAGCTTAACACAACAACAATAATAAATGAAGGTATCCTTTTTTCCTACTCACTAGGCACTCATTCTCTCTCTTCCCCATGTTAAATGAACAAAGGACTCTTTGCCAGTTTGTGTGAAGCAGGTATCTTTGAGACCATGTCCTTATCACTACCACCAAATATTGACTGAGAAGCTACTGTCTGTGGGGCAGGGAGTGGGGGAAGGGAGACACAGAAGTCATAAAGACACCACTACCCTTTGGGAGTTCACAGTCTAAATGAGAGGTAGAACAGAGACAAAGAAATCAACTTACAATACAAGGTAGTAGGTGAAGGCCTTCAAAGGAGCTTTGTCAACCATAAATGAACAGTTCAATTCAACAAATACTTAGTAAGTACACACTGTGTGCAAGGCAGGCCAGCACAGGATAGTGGATGGAAGGAAGGGCTACTGGTGGTGTCAGGAAGACCTTAGATCAAGTATGACCACAGCAAGTCATTAACTTCTTGATGCTAAAAAAGCATAAATGCTAAAATGCTGAAGCTAAAATACTCCAGGTAATTTTGCTGA